AAATATATTTTTTTTCATTGTAGTTATGAAAGATTCAGGGGAAATCTAAGTAGTTATGAACATGTACCTGACTTTCCTCAGACTCCCCGCTCAGTGTGCAGTGAGAGTTGTGGTCCTGGATTTAGGAAAAGCCCTCAAGAGGGAAAGGTTGCCTGCTGTTTTGATTGTACACCTTGTCCAGAGAATGAGATCACCAATGACACAGGTATGAGTGTGACTTATGGACAAATTATTCACCTCTCTTTGTGCCTTCCAATCCATACAGAGATGAAGAAAAGTTTTTGAAGAAGAGCAAAAGCAAATTCTTTCTTCCTTCAGTGAATGATTTCTTTTCTGTACCTAGTACCATTGCCCCTTGCGAAATACCTTCTGTTTCCTTTGTTTTTTTTTATTGTCTTCGTTTGTTCTTAGGTTTGCTTTCCTTAGTATGAACCCAGAGGTGTGTGCCCAATGAGCTACATGCCCTATTTTGTTCCTTTGAGATAGCATCTTATTAACTTGCCCGAGTTGGTTTCACATTTATTTATTTTATTTTAAGGAGAATAAAAAAATAACAAAATAACAATATACAGACAAACAAAACAAAGCAAAAACAATAAAAATGATAGTGGGTTTCTTATATCTGGTAATTAAATTTGTGCCTCTCCTGCTTCATCTTCCTCAGTAGGAAGGCTTCCAGGTATGCAGCACTGCACTTGTCTTCTTTGATCTCTTTTTCTCAGCCCAGTGAAGCAATTATGTTTTAAGGAAACTCCTTTATTACACCCTACAATTTCTAGTTTCTTTTTCCATCATGAAATGTAACCAAAGGTGATTCAGCTCCAACACTTTATCTTCTTTAAAGATGCAGTTAGGCCACATGGAAGAAAAGGATCTGACATCTCCTTACTTACCCAGTGCCGAGCTCTGTCCTTGACAGAGCTTATGCACTGAGAGTATGTCTTTGGATTTAGAGGTAGATCTGACTTTGGAGTACAGCAGGCTCATGCTCAGCATAAGCTCAGTTACTAGGAATTTTTCCCTGCTCTCCTGGATTTTCCAGAAGAATAGTTGTAAAATCATGTAACAATTGTAGTTTTGCTACAGAGCTCCAGTAGTGAACATTGATTGGGGGATTGGATAAAAGACGACAGCTATGATTTGGCAAGAATATTGTAGCTCCTTCACAAAAGCAGTACCATCAGTACTGTATCAGGGGACTGGGCTTGGGTTGAATTCCTATAAAAGTTAGCAAATTTAGCAAAAACAAGCATTCCCACATTGTGTAGTATTTCACATAAAAATGAGATTCAATGTTATTTAAAAACAGAGAGTATGGTAATGAGGTTGGCACATACTGTAAAAAATACAGGGAACCAATATTAAATATTTCTAAATACCATAATTACAACTTGGAGAATATTTGAATTTATGATAATAAACCATATGGTAGAATCACGTCTCTGTTGAATATTTTTGCTTTGTTTCTGTGGTAAACGTTTGTTTTATTTATTTTTTATTTTATTTTTATGAAGTACAGGGGGGTGACTTCACTCAGCCTATATTTACTGAGTGTCCCCAGGGCCCCAGGGATTCAGTACTGAGGATGAGACACCAGTGAGTCCTCTCTTTCTCTGTACACATGAAAACCGAGGAAGGGCCAGGCAAGCACACAGCGAGAAGGCACTGTCTGCAATCCAGGGGAAGAGCGCTCACCAG